GGAGCAGCTGCTGTCTCTAGATTTCAAATGGCTGCGGTGCCTCTCTAGCTCGATGGTAAAAGGGAATTGCCAGTGGGGGGAGGGCCTTTTCCCTCTTCCAGCACACAACCTTGGGAAACGGCTTTTAGATAACAGCCATCTGCAGATGTACACTGGAGACGTGCAGTCACTAGTTCACGCTTTTAACATGGAATACGTTCCAGCCTACTGACTGCAGGCGGCCTCTCAAGACTGAGTTTCCCTCGGGGGTCAGAAACCTTTTATAACTAAAGAGTCAAAATTTGGAAGAAGAGCCAAGTACAAAAAAACTTGCAGAACCAAAAATACACAATTTGACATTAATGATAATTGACATGTGAATTAATAAAACCCTTCGCATTTCTGCAGCCCAAACGCTACTTCTTGTTTTTATTAGGAAGTCGTGTACACAAGGTCTTTCAAGCAGTCATAAATATACACAGGAGCACCATGGGCAATTGTTTCAGTACACTGGCATAAAACTGTGCATAGTTCATGCTTGGAATTACTTGGCAGCTCTTCACCTCTATCATTTCCCTTTCTGTAAGGCATTTCTACGAAGCCCCACAAATATCTTTGCTTTGCCATTCCCTTCCTGTACTTGATGGTCTAGCATCCAGCCTGCTGCACCAGTATTCCTTCGCTTCAAGACTTTGTTTTCTTTTTAAACAGCCAGTCTTCTCTATCACTCACACCCTTGTCTATATACAGATATAGGAGCGATACTCTGGTAATGGCTAAAGGGACAAACGGTTCAGGGAATACAGTGATAACAAATGGGGGGCTTGTTCAATATCACAGAAGGGTGGGAAGCGGTTTAGAAATCCCCAATTCATATCAAGGTGGGTGGATTGGGGGGTGGGGGAAATAACTGATTTGTAAAGCAAAAAAGGGGCATGTGGCTGATGGGAGCTAAGCCCTCCCCATGTGAGTACTTGCTTATCTCTAGCCTCCCCCCACCTTTATCCCAAAGCCAGAGCACGCTGCCTGGGGAGACAGATAAATGGAGGAGTTATCTGGAAAAGGTTAAGCCAAAGGGCATGTTAAGGGCAAGAGGAGCCATCCTGTATTAGACCAATGGCCCAGCATCCCGTTTCCCATAGCGACTGACCAGATGTCCCTGCAAGGAATCATAGAATCATAGAGTTGGAAAGGACCTCCTGAGTCAGATTGAGGTGATGAGAAAGGAGGTCCTACAACTGATAGACAACTTAAAAACTGATAAATCACCAGGCCCGGACAACATACATCCGAGAGTTCTGAAAGAACTCAAATGTGAACTTGTGGATCTCCTGACAAAAATATGTAATCTTTAATTAAAATCTGCCTCCATTCCTGAAGACTGGAAAGTAGCTAATGTCACGCCCATCTTTAAAAAGGGTTCTAGAGGCGATTTTACAGGCCAGTCGGTCTGACATCGGTACCGGGTAAGTCGGTGGAAATTGTTATTAAGGAGAGAATTAGTAGGCACATTGATGAACAAAGCCTACTGAGGACTCAGCATGGGTTCTGTAAGGGAAGATCTTGTCTCACTAACCTGTTAGCGTTCTTGGAGGGAGTGAACAAACATGTGGACAAGGGGGACCCAAAAGATGTTGTTTACCTTGACTTCCAGAAAGCTTTTGATAAAGTTCCTCATCAAAGACTCCTAAGTAAGCTCAATAGTCACGAGATAAAAGCACAAATCCTTTTGTGGACCAAAAACTGGCTAATTAATAGAAAACAGAAAATGAGTATAAATGGGCAACTATCTCAGTGGAGGGTGGTAAGCAGTGGGGTACCCCAGGGATCAGTACTCGGTCCAATGCTTTTTAATTTGTACATTAATGATTTGGAGTTGGGAGTAAGCAGTGAAGTGGCTAAATTTGTGGATGACACAAAGTTGTTCAGGGTGATGAAAAGCAGGAAGGATTGTGAGGCGCTCCAAAGGGATCTGTCGAGGATGGGCGAGTGGGCGTCAAAATGGCAAATTGGGTTCAATGTGGCCAAGTGCAAAGTGATGCGCATTGGGGCCAAAAATCCTAACTATAAATACACGTTGGTAGGGTCCGAACTGGCAGAGACTGGCCAAGAGAGAGATCTTTGGAGTCGTAGTAGATAACTCACTGAAAATGTCTAGACACTGTGCAACTGCAATAAAAAAAGGTCAAAACGATGCTGGGGATTATTAGAAAGGGAACGGAAAACAAATCTGCCAGTATCATAATGCCCCTGTATAAATCAATGGTGTGACCTCATTTGGAGTACTGTGTACAGTGCTGATCTTTCAGCTTGACCTACCACACACAGTTGTTGTGAGGGGGGAAAAGTGGACAGGAGAACAGTGTAAGCCGCTTTGGGTCCCCGTTGGGGAGAAAGGCAGGATATAAGTAAATATTTATAAAAACGCAAACGAAACTCAGCAATTGTTGGTTCATGTGCCTCCTTCTCCCCTTGTGTAGGGCTCAGATACTTAACTCCTGATACCTAGAGTTGCCAGCTCCATGTTGAGAAATACCTGAAGATTTTGGGGGTGGAGCCTGAGGAGGGCGGGACTTCAGTGAGGTGTAATATCCGAGTCCACCTACCAAAGTGGCCATTTCTCCAGGCAAACTGATCTCTTTTGCCTGGAGATGAGTTGTAATCAGTGTTCCCTCTAAGCTGTGCACCTGAGCTGCTGCTCATTAACACAGGCTGCCCCGCTCAGCAGCCATCTGGAGTCTTGCACTGCCCATTTGAACATTCCGGCAGTTATGCTCTGTTCAGGATGCAAACTGCCCCGCTCAGCGGGGGGATTAGAGGGAACTGTAAAAATCCCAGATCTCCAGTCACCACCAGGAGGTTGGCAACCATATTGGTGCCCAAGAACTTGCAACTGGTTGTGAATGTTTGAGTCCAATGGCACCTTTAAGACCAACAAAGGTTTATTCAAGGGATGAGCTTTTGTGTGCATGCACACTTTGTTGGTCTTATAGGACTAAACTGTAAAGGAGTAAACTGTAAAGGAGTAAACCTTTGTTGGTCTTAAAGGTGCCATTGGACTCTAAATCTGTTGTACCGCAAATCTTCGCTCACTCCTCCCCGACTAACCAGGACTCCAAATGAGACTGAACTCTGGTTTGCAGGTCGAAGGGCCGCTTGTCCCATTTCAGTCGTGGGGTTTGGGGAGGGGAGAGAGGGGCAGAGAAGCACAGGGAAGGGAGCGCAAGCCCAAGGATCTCCTCCTCGCACGCCGCTGCTTGCAAGGAACGAGGCCCTTGACGTGCGCAGCGCTGCAATCCTCTGCAGCCAGGGCGGCAGGGGCAGCGGAGGGCGAGCAGGAAGGCTTCGGCTGGCGCTCTCCGACCTTCAGCGCTGCCCCAAAGATGAAAAAGGGCTCAAGCAGCTCCAGGCACCCTCCTTGACTTAAAAAAACCAAACCCATAATGTAAATCTGGCAACCAATGCTCCCTCTAAGCTGTGGAGTCCTGTGAGCAAAAATTCTACTTTGTGAGCTACCGGCATTGAAGTTGCGAGCTGGTGATTTTGCTACCGCATCAGTTAGTTTGCTCTGGAGCCATCCCTTCCTGAGCTAAGACAAAAACATGTGAGCCGGAGGCTAAAAAACTGTGAGCTAGCTCACACTAACTCAGTTTAGAGAGAACCCTGCCAACTGCATCAGCTGCCGCCTGGTGACCCGCTATTGATGGAAAGGCCAACCCATATAACAGAAGGGCTCTCAAGAACTATGATGCACCGTAAGGATTTACTTTCGAGTGGACAGGACCCCGGGCTGCATACGTGCCTACCAATTCTCCCTCTAAACTGTGGAGTCTTGTGAGCAAAAATTCCACTTTGCGAGCTACTGGCATTGACGTTGTGAGTGAGTGATTTGGCTGCTGCAGAAATCAATTTGCTCTGGAGCCCTCCTTCCTGAGCCAAGGCGAAAATGTGCGAGCAGGACGCTAAAAACCTGTGAGCTAGCTCACACTAACTCAGCTTGGAGGGAACACTGGACTGCCTACTACTGCGGTTAGTGAAAGGGTTTTGTTTTTTTAAAATCCTCTTTTATTTATTTTATTTATTTATTTTGCGATTTCTATCCCGCCCTACCCAGAGGCTCAGGGCGGCTAACAACAATATTTAAAATAGTAAAACAATTTTACATATACAATAAAACTGGTGCTTTCCAGACCCTGCCGAGCTGCCGTGAAGCCCGCAGGCAAATGCAAGTCAAAAGCTTTTTCACCACCACCACCACCACCCAAGAGGGAGGCTGCGGAGTGCCCAGGCCGGCTGCGGTGCCAGAGGGAGCCCCCGGGCGCGCATTCCTGGCAGCGGCGGAGGCTCCCTCCTTCCCTCCCAAGCCATTTGCTTTCTCCTCCAACCCACGTGCGTCAAACGACCTCCGCGGAGCGCGTCCTCGCCGGCTCGCGCACGCGCAGGTGCCCGCGCCTCCCGCCGTCCTACTTTCTCTTCTCCAGTGGTTCCGAGCGCGCGAACGTTCTAAGCCCCGCCCACTCGCCTCTCGCTCGATGTGTGTTGCTACAGTATACATTCGTAGCCGGCAAGGGTGGGGTTAAATTTGAGAGGTCGGCGCCTGCGCTCATGACTCGCGTCCCCCCCTTTTAAGTGTTACGGGATAAAAGGGGAGGTCGAGTCGACATTAAACTTTGCGCGCGCGCAGGCACTCACTATCCCTTACTCTTGGGGCGGGGGAATTTAGGCGCTTGCGCAGTTAATCCACAAACCTTCGCTCATATACCCGTAGGGAAATGATGGAATTTGTACGCTTGCGCAGTTACTCAACATGTATTTTTTCTTTTATACCCGACGGGGGCGGGAGAACTTGAACACTTGCGCAGATAGGGTCAAGAGAGACCTGTATGCGCATGCGTACTAAACTCCCTCCCACCTGTGTACATGCATATACACACACACTTACACAGAGGGAGCCTAGGAAGACTGAGTGTTGCGCAGGCGCCTTGGGGAGGTGTATGGCGTGCGCACAGCTCGCTCGCCTCTCGCCAGAAGCAGCAGGAGGAGGAGGAGGAGGAGGAGGCTCTGGCTGTGTGGAGATCGCGTGAGGGGAGCCCGGCCGCCGCCGCCACCCCCCCGTGACCGGAGAGCGCGAGCCAAGCGAGGAGGGGAAGGCCTCGCGGAGGAGGAGGAGGAGGAGGCGGCGGACTCGAGCAAGCCCGCGCTGAGGCGAGGCGAGGCTCCGGCTCGCCGCCCCGCACAGCCTCTCTCTCTCTCTCTCCCTCGCGCGCGCGCTCTCCCTCCCTCCCCCCTTCTCCTCCTCCCTCCCCTCCAACATGTCGGCGCCGGCGGCCAAAGTCAGCAAGAAGGAGCTCAACTCCAACCACGACGGGGCCGACGAGATCTCAGGTGGGCGACGCGGGCGGGCGGGGCCGGGCGGAGGGCGGCGCGGCCCCCCCCCATATTTCTAAACCAATTTCACTGGCTACTGACTGAGTACTGGATCCTCTTCAAGGTGTTGGTATTAAAGCCCTATGCAGCCTGGGACCAACATATCGAAGGGACCACCTCTCCCTATACCTGCCCCAAAGAGCCTTGCACTCAGTGGACCATCATTTACTGGTTGTCCCTGGTCCAAAGGACGTCCTCTTAGCCTTGACCAGGGCCATGGCCTTCTACGCCCTGGTCCCGGCCTGGTGGAACTAATGCTCCTGTCTGAGAACAGGGCCCTGTGGGACCTATTACAGTTACGCAGAGCTTGCAAAATGAAGCTGTACCGCCTGGCCCCCGGAAAAAAACAGGAATTTTTTGGGGGGGGGGAGGTTTTTTCCTGAAAAACAAATAAAAATCATTTTTTAAAAAAGGTGTTGCTTTAAAGGGGATCGCGGGATCGGGCGCGCCGCCCTCTTTTCTTCCCTCGGTCTCTCTAGAACGTGGCTTTGCCAGGCGTCTCGCCGCCACGTGCGGCTCTAAAGGATAGGCTTCGCCAAGGGGAGGGAGGATTTATTTATTTTTTACAAAAAAATATATTGCGAATCGATGCTGGATTATGATTCGGTAAGGATTGGGGGGAAAAGCGGCAAACGCCGCGGTCTTGTAAAATTGGGAATTTTTTTAAAAAAAATGCGTAAAATAGACCGTGAACCTCTGATAGGGAAAAACAGCGGTTGGCTATTTTTCTTTTCCAACTTCGTTGCTTGTAAGCCGCCCACCCCACCCCGCCGCCCACCACCACGCGGACTGGCCAGGACAAGCGTGCAAAGACTTCACGCGGGTGCACGTGTGTTCCTCTCGTTTCTAGGCTTGGTTTCAAAGAAAGCTTTCTGGTCGGATGGACCTCTAGAGTAATTGTAATTGGGTGTAGGTCCTTATACGAGCTCCCAAATAAGCGTGCAGAGGGTTGCAGTCGTAGTTGAGCAGTCTGGATGAGCAGGATAAAGCTCGAGGGCGAATGAGGAATCGCGCCTTTTAGCTATTTAAATAGGCACTGTCATGTCCCTTTTTTTTGTCCCAAACTGCTGAACGCACTGTGCCTCTAAGGCAGACTTGTTGATTGGCGATTATGGTGTGCCTATGTTTAAGGTTTGAAAACTCTGTGCTGTTTCCTTACGCTTGATACAGCCTTTTCAGTTCAGTGCACTTTTCCTCCTAACATAATTAGTTGAGCAAAGTTGTGCTGAACTTTAAAGAGTTCTAAGTTTTCGTCTAAAACATCTTAGATCCGTGCTGATATTGGCGGTCATCTGCAAGGAGAGGAATGTATCTGGAGAAAAACCTTTTAATGGGTTGTCTAAAATATGGTAGTATAAGTTGAGAGAGAGGTCTTTGGCATTACTTGACTATAGACTGAGAGAGACTGATGTTTTTAAAAAAATTAAAACTAAATCTATGTATAATTTGTTAGAAATGTTATATACCGTGGAGTTAAAGGTTTAATATAGATACAATAAGTGTGCTCAGGATTGTGACCTAACTAGTAAACTAGCATGTTTCCCTCTGAGACAGGGCTTGGGAGACAACAACTTTATTCTCAGTGGAGAGTCTGAAGACTGTATTTAATCAATCTGGAGATATTTTTTTTATTCCATTCATAATAATATTCAAAATGGCTTGCGGTCACGCACACTAAATAATCCACTTTCCAACTGGATTTTGCCAGTTCACATAGTAAAATCCAGTTGGAAGGTGGATTATTTAGTGTGTGTGACTGCAACCAGTTAGTATTATTTGTACTGAACTGTGCCATAACTCCCTTGAGCCTGCCCTAAGTATTTGACTGATAATGTTTTTGTTTTGTTTTCAGACAAAGAGCAACAGGAAGCAATTGAACATATTGATGAAGTACAGAATGAAATAGACAGGTAATCTATGTATTCACGTTTCTTTTGTGGAAGTTAAATAGGTTATGCTGTAATAACATGGTGATTCCTAAAACATCTGGGTTCCAAAATCTGATGATCTGATTGAAAAGCCACCGTTGATTGTACCCCTGTTCTAGTTATGAGGAATTGTAATCTAAGTAGTTTCTGAACATGAGATGTAGGCTAAAGTCTAGGTCTTAGTTGAAAAGAAAATAAGCAAACTTTAAACTCAAGCGTTGTGTTTGGATGGGAAGTATTACAATGATAATGGTGCCTTATGAACCAAAAGTAGACTCTACAAAACAAAACTGAAATATTAGCTATAACTTTCATCTGCAGTCCTTAAACTATTAGTAGTCTTACAGAATCCTAAAAAACCTTACCAAGGTTGAATGAAAGACTCACTTTATGCAGAGGCAAATAAGTGCTTTGTGCAGCCCTTGCCTGGTCAGTCCTGAATGACATTGATGGTGAAGCGAAACTTCCAAAGTTTTTGTAAGGTTGATCCAAGACCTTTTAGTCAGAGAAGCCAACTGTCAAATATGGGTTGCATGCGGACAATGCAGTCTACTGCTTATTTTATGCACTTCTGAGTTCAAGTGAATAGAAGACTTGAAGCAAAAGCTGTGATGTTGCATCTGTTATACAGTAGAATAGCTAAGTGAAATTAACAGTATGTCAAATTTTGCCTATCTTTGATCAGAGAACATAGTGTAACTATACTTATTAAATTAAATTAAATAGTACAGAATAGATGGCATAGTTGTTGAGTTCTAGTTGTGCTAGCTTGTCATCATAAAACAATCACACGATCTAATTATTTAAATCTTCATGTCGAGTTTCTGCTGATTTCATACTTCTCTAAGCTTCCGATCACCATGCTGTGCCTGGCTCTTATCATTGCAGACTGAATGAACAAGCCAGTGAGGAAATTTTGAAAGTAGAACAGAAATACAACAAACTCCGCCAACCATTCTTCCAGAAGAGGTCAGAATTGATCGCCAAAATCCCAAATTTTTGGGTAACAACATTTGTCAACCACCCACAAGGTAAGCCGGAGTCAGTATATATCTAATATATTTATCTATTTTGCAAGCTAGTTTGTTGCTTATTAATAATGCAGATTTCAATGGCATAGAACTTTCAATATCCCACATAAAGATTATTTAATGGTTATCTTCTCCGATGTTTTGCTAGAGTTTAATTCTCTGCATCCATTCCTTTGACTTAAGTCCATAAATAACTTTAGAGACGTAGTCTGAAAGTTACTTATTCTGTAGTGGTTGTGGAATAAGCTTGTAGTAAAGAGTATATAATTAAAATATTAAATGAGCTTTTGACTGTTGTATGATGTGATGCTTTCCACAGCTTTTAAAAGAAGCCCCTTGAACCAAGTATTCTGTATTTTGAGAACCAGATTTTGTTGCAACCCACATAAAACTGGTTAGGGAGACGTAGGTATACTTTAATGCTACTTAAAGCACATGTACAACAGTTTTATGATGGACATCTCATAATTCTGCTTTAGTATCTGCACTGTTGGGGGAAGAAGATGAAGAAGCACTGCATTATTTGACCAGAGTCGAGGTGACGGAGTTTGAAGACATCAAATCAGGTTACAGAATAGATTTTGTAAGTGTCGGTGCACTGCATCATTCTTGCATGTCTCTGCATGCTTCTTGATACATACCTTTGACATATGTGTGATGTATAGCAGTATCTGCATTCTTAATCTAACGTTTCCTCTGCCACAGTATTTTGACGAGAATCCGTATTTTGAAAATAAGATGCTCTCCAAAGAGTTTCACCTGAATGAGAGTGGGGACCCGTCATCAAAATCCAGTGAAATCAAATGGAAATCTGGGAAGGTATGCATCTGTTTAGTGCGATATGATGACAGTTTTTGTTTCCTTGCAGGTTTTTTGATTCTGGCTACTGATCTTATCCTCTGTAGCTGGAATTAGTGGCTACTTGATAGGTGAGATTGAGTGGGGCTGCATGCCCATAGAGAATTTGGCACTCTCCTATTAAACCTTTCTAAAGGAGATCAAGTTATTGTTGGTGGGGGTACGTGTACTCTATGGATGTTTTCTAAATTCCTCACAGCAGTTAATACAAAAAAAGTAATTGAACTGCTTCGATTCAGTTATGAAAAGTTCCAGTGAAGTTCTGAAGACAAACTTCACTTTTATTGTTCAAAGTCTGCTATTTGCTAGAAGTTGTCTGGAGGTCCATGTTAATAAAAACCAACACTGTAATGGTGGGTAGAAAGCTAGAAATGACTGCTGAATGTAACAGTCTCTTCTACACTCCTCTTAACATAAGTACCTTTGGGCATTTCAGTGTCCCATTAAAGACAGTATGGCCAGTATTCTGAAGAACTTCACAGCTACCTGTGCATGCTTTAGGACTGGGTTTCTGCTTTGTCTGGGAAAGTTGCTTTAGCACTATAGAGTGAGGTTCTGTTTCTAAAGGGGGAGGGGAATTGGGCACGTCTTTGGTAGTTCCTTGTGCCTTGGCCAATAAGTGCCTTGAGGAGTAATCTCTGAATCAGGTGACAGACCCTTAGCAGTCATGAAGGTGAAAAGTCCACACTTTGGAAGAGAAATTTAAACATTCTGTGCATTCCTGTTTCAGGATCTGACAAAGCGTTCAAGCCAGACACAGAACAAGGCCAGCAGAAAGAGGCAGCACGAAGAACCAGAAAGCTTCTTCACTTGGTTTACTGACCATTCTGATGCAGGAGCTGATGAGCTAGGCAAGGTCATTAAAGATGACATCTGGCCAAACCCATTGCAGTACTACCTGGTAAGAGTCTTCAATAAGCTCACCACATTGGACATTCTATTCTTATATGCAGCTTAGTAAGATGCGCTAATGTGGATTGTCTGTGTTTCAAAAAAGGTTCCTGATATGGATGACGAAGAAGGTGAAGGAGAGGAGGAGGATGATGATGATGAAGAGGAGGAAGGACTGGAGGACATTGATGAGGAAGGTGATGAAGATGAGGGTGAAGAAGATGAAGATGATGATGAGGGTGAAGAAGGAGAGGTTAGAAACTTAAAAGCTGTACTCTTGTAATGACCCAGGTGCCAGAGGCTGCTCTGTAAATGGAGCAGAACTGGCTACAAGTTAAGTAAAAGCATCCCACTACATGAATTGCCATTTGGGATGCTTTTGAATTAGGGCAGGTTTGCAGGTTAAGTGTGCTTAAAGCTCCAAATTACTTGAATCCTGATATTTAATCCAAGCAATGTTATCAGGAGGCAGTTTAGGGCAGCTTTGCAAATAAGACTCAACAAATCACACCTGCATGCATGGATTTACTAGTTCACCTGCTTGTGTGTGCCTTGGTCATTCCTGGAGAATTAATAGGCTAAAAAACTTCTAACTACTAGGGGGAGTGAATCATCTCTCTTGATATTGTATTTGTCAGGGACTAGCTAGTAGTTTGTAGGTTTCTCTTTCTCTATGGCACAGTGTGATCTAGTTGAATTGTGCTACCTGGTTTGGGTATGTTTTAGGGGGGGGGTATAGAGTCCATAATATGGATTCAGGAAGTTAATCCAATTGAAAGATTTCAGAGAAGTGTGGGAAATTGTAAAATGCTTGAAAAAAAAAGTTAATGAGTTTTTAAGTGTCCTTGATTAAGGTAGTCAACAGCAGTATTCTAACGGTTACTTCTCTTTCAACAGGAGGATGAAGGAGAAGATGACTGAACACTGATGGATTCCAACCTCCCTCTGACCCCTCCCCTCTTTTTTTCCCCCCTCCAGTCCCTGGGAGCAAGTTACCGTCTTTCCCCCCTCCTTTTGTGCTCAGTCGCCTTGTTCTCTTGAGGTCTTTTTTTCTCTCCTCTTCACCATGGTTCACAAAATTTTTGGAGAAAAATATCTTGAGCAGAATACAGTGGAAAAGAATCTCTATTCATTTCAATTTTTTTATCCCTCTGTTTTGAAACAAACTGTTAAATGAAATCCACACGCCGTGTTCTGTGGGGAGGAAAGAGAACCTTCTGCTCCCTTCACTCTGCTGGAAGCTGAAGAGTGCTAGGCCCCTGTGTAGTAGTGCATAGAATCTAGCTTTTTCCTTCTTTCTCTGTATATTGGGCTCGGAGATTACACTGTGTCTCTATGTGAATATGGACAGTTAGCATTTACCAACATGTATCTGTCTACTCTCTTGTTTAAAAAAAAAAGAAAAAGCTAAAAAAAGGGGTTATAGACAGGGTAAGCGTGGGTGGGTTTCAGATGTTGGGGTGGGTTAAGTGGGCATTTTGACAAAACATGACTTCTCCTTTGGCATGTTTAATTGTGATGTTTAAACAAAACATCCTTACAGTTTAAGATGACACTTTTAAAAAAATAAAATTCTCTCCTAATGATGACTTTTGAGCCCTCCCACTTGATGGAGAATCAGCAGAACCTGTAGGATCTTATTTGGAATTGACATTCTCTATTGTAATTTTGTTCTTTGTTTTGTTTTTTCAATTTTTTTTTTGTTTCACTGGAAAAGAAAGATGCTCAGTTTTAAACGTTAAAAAGTGTACAAGTTGCTTTGTTACAATAAAACTTAATGTGTACACCAGGGGGCTGATAGTCTTCACTGAAGAAGCATGTTTTGACCCAGAGCCTTTAGTTTGGTTTCTCAGTGTACAAATGTTCCATTCGTACTAAATATATATATTGCAGGAAAGACAATGATTAAAAAGCAACGTCCACATGTATATAAAAATCATTGCAGTTTCCTCCCCTTTAACAAAACCTTTAAGTCCCTCATACAGCCTAAAGCTTTCCAAGGCTTGACGGTTGAGGCAGGAGAGGCATCTGCTGTCCCTGCCACATCCCAGAGCTTACTTGGGACTGGTTTTCTCAGTCAGTGTGGAAGACGGCCAAGCAAAGCTCTCTTTTAATTAGTTCTCTGGATTTGGCCCTCGGTCATTCTTGGGACTTGAGTACCTGTTTTGAAATCTAGCAAGAGTGATACTTCAAAAAAAATCATATTTGATGTAGGTGGAATTTTAACTGTAACTTCATCTATTGGTATCAATAAAGATCATCACTGGATTGGCACATGTTAAGTGGGTGTTGGTCCTTAAAGAGTCTCTTGAATTTTGGCCTCTTTTCCTCAGTAGTGGTTTATGACTTGAGTGTGGTTTAAACACTTGTTCTTCCAAGATGTTCTAATCCTAGTTGACCGTGGAAGAATCTTCACTGGTGCTTCTTGAGAAGTGTGTGAATAAGGCTTCCATATAGAGTAGGAAGTGAAACACAGATTATAACACAATTGAGCAAGAATATGTACAGGTAGGTCTGCAGAAAATATTTCCATGCCATATCCTAGATGAATGTTGGAAAGGAAATCTAAATGGTTTTAACACAATATCTTACTCTAGAAATGTAATGTGTAAAAATGTATGTGCAGCTGTTTAGACCAGTAAAAAACTACACTTTCAATCTACTGAAAAGTGTATTTTGGAATAGAGTAGGTTTATAGCAAATCATTTGTGTAGGGTTGTGAATCTAGACAGTGGCTGCAAAATAGTGTGTTATGCTGAAAAGTGAGGAACTGGTGTCTCACTCTCCACTTGTCAACAGGTTGTAGCAAAAACTGCTTTTGACCTCATTTACCAACTTGCAACATTGTTCACATCTTCTCTTTTAAGAACTTTGAAATGTAGGCATTTTGAGAATTTTAAAACATTGATAGTCGGTGCAGAGAGACCTTAAATAATGACCTTAAGCAGCAGTTCTTTAACTGGTAGTAGCACAAGATCAGGCTGCTAAGGTGTGATTTTTAAAAAAAACATGTGCCCTGGCAGCAGGTTAGAATGTTTGCAGTCTGTTTTTGCTGAAGCAAGGAATAACTCATTTTGCTGGAACAAAATCAGGAAATCGGTACAGTGTCATGCACCAGGCAGAAGGGTGGAAGGCGACTTCAGGCATCCCTGTACACTTAGATTAGCATTGGAATGCTTTGATTGCTGTGTTTTGGCGGTTCTGTTCTCATTTTCAAGATTTGTGAGTCTTCTAATTGAATAAAATGCATTTTTTAATTTGGGGGAGGGCTATTTACAAAATGTTTAAAAGCAATGCAATTAGTCTCAGTTCATGAGCTAGACTAGAGTAGGACTCGAATCTTGCTCTTCTGTTGCAGACCAACATGGCTACCCTCTGAAATAGTCTGTGCTTTTTTTAAAGTAAAAGCTGACAAACTTCAAAAAAATGTCAGATGCTGGGAAAGGTGTACATGGAAGATTGTGACAGGTGTTTTTAAACAAAATTAAAATCTGTATTTTAAAAATGAACCATTTCATACACTCTTATTTTCCCCCAACCACACAAAGTTCCATGGTAGCTTACTACAGGGTGGGGGGTTTTTTAATAGCAAACTGCTCATAGTTTACATTTTGCACTGGTTGAGCTGTGTGTTCTGTTTTTCACTACAAGGACTGATGTAGGAGAAGGAATGTGAGAGAGGGGAAGGTGGGGGTGGGGCAGCTGAATGTTGTGCCAGCAAAAAGGTTCCAGCTCTGTAAAGAGTTTTTGGAACTGGTAAGCATATGCAAGTCAGTTCAGTTCAAAGATTTCCAGGTTTAATTTCAACTTCAAAAATACTGGGAAACTTGCTCGTTTAGTAAAGTGCTTACTGCCAGATACGTCTTCAAGATGGCTTTCCAAAAACTAGTCGTTCCCCACATCCTATGGCTTTAGGTTGATTTAATGTAACGGAAGCAGCAACCAGCGACAAGAAAATGTCATTTGCCAAAAGCTGCAGTTAATAAAATGACCCTTAAAAGGTAGGTGCCTCATATATTCCAAATCTCACAAGCAGCTTCTGCCAAATAACCGCCTAGAGGCTTTGTAAAGGGAATATGTGCTGAGTGTTTTTACCCTGGGCAAGGAGCAAACGCTGCTAGCACCTATTCCTTGAGAGCAGAGGATGCGGCTTAGTGCTCATGTCAGACCTGTCCTTGCAGAGGGGCAGCTTAGCAAGAGACATACATCATACAATATCGCCCCCCCCCCCCAAAAAAAAATCATCAATGCAAGACACTGCCTGGTCTAGACTAAAATGAAACAAAATGGATGCCAGCCAGATAAGAGCTTGGGAAAATATTTTTGGAAGGTGAGAGCAGCGGACTAAAGACCCTGTGTACCCTGAGGAGATGCATAATTTAGGACAATGGGCCCCCCAAGAAAACTATTTCCTCTCCTTGGATTAATGTCATTCACACCCACTTCCCCTCACCCATTTACCCCAATTAAGCAACACTTAACACTATTCACAAAACCTGGTAGCTTTTCCCCTTGGAACTTAGAGGGTCATCAAGCACCATTAGCACTTGTAGTCCACCTTAGGTAAACCCATCAAGCTTCTCCCAAATCATTGTTTCTTTCCAAAACTCTTGAGGCAGACAGGTGAGACTGCCCCAGGGAGCATTTCCCCCTATAATTGTAACACTCAGTTCCAAAGCAGTGTGTGTGTGTGTTGATGTCATACCTAACACCCTCACTTGTTTGTGGGCCTTTGTGAAACACTGTTTGTTTTGCTGCTGCCTCTGTGGACTTCACTCTTCCAAGACTGGTAACTATAGCCTTCCCCCCAAATTGCTTTTCCCTTCTCCCTAATCTCTAGCTTGTATGTTTCCCTTGTGTTTGTATGTGTGTGTTTTGCCCTTTATGCCTATTCCAATAAAACCGTAACCAGGCCCCGGTCACACGACAAAGTTGCCGCGGGAGAGGCACGGATGGTGGGCGGATTATCTGGGCGTGATCACACCCCAACATCTGGGAAGTGGAGTGCACCCATGGCTTACCGCCGACAATGCGCCTTAAACTACTACCTCCAAGGTACTAGTAAATGTTTGCCACGGGCTGCCTCCAGACGTCTGATCGCATAATCGTGCATCAAACTGCGCCGGGGCAATTAGCCACACCTCCCCCCCCAGCGGTATCCGGCCTGTGTGACCGGGGCCCCAGTGGGACATCTGCCTGCTTTATTTTGAAAGTTCTCTTGAGGGGAAAATCCCCATAAACATCAGTGGAGAATCCCAGTTACACCCTCTCATTCTGTCTCTAAGCTAATTCCCCCACCTAATTAGGAGACTGCCTATTTGGGTAACAGTCAGGTTTTCTGACCACCTGTACTTGAGTACATCTCTTTCTGACTGGCTTCCTTTGTTACAGTCCTCAGTGAAACCAAAACCAGGACCAATGCTCGTTTTTGAGAGCATCAGTGCCAAGTCATTACAATCCTTGATATTCATATAATTTTTTCAGTGGTGGACGTGCTGCTTTTGCAATATCTGGTGATCCTTCCAGCTACCTGGCGAGGTAAGCCACTATTACCCCATATTGCAGGAGAGTGAGGCTTAGCCAAGGTCCCCTTCTGAGTCTGTGGAAAGGGTGAGATTGGAACCAGGGACCAAATAGGCCACTGATCAATTAGTGGTTAAGTTCTGCTTACATACTTAGGGAGTGAATGTTGGATTAAATGTGCTCAATGGGTGTTAGGCAGCAACATGGCAAAGGGGTCAGGTCCTTAGGCTTAAATGAGAAAGATGACTCGGCTGTATATCTGCTAATTAGCGAGCCAGACTCTCATCGTGAAGCTCTTTGGGTGACCTTGAGACAGTCACCCCCTTTTAGCCTAACCTACCATGCAGGGTTGTTGCAAGAATAAAATGGAGGAGGGGGAAATAATGTATACTGCCCTGTGCTTAGAAGGAGAGGATCAAAAATGGACTAAGCAAATACATTCAGGTACTGAAGATGCCACAACTCTCTGAAGAATTAAGCTTTGCTTTTTTTCCATCTCAGGGTGATGTAATGCAACGGGCATATTTGAAATGGGGTTCCTGTACTTCTAACAATTAACCAATTAAGACCAGTGTTCCCTCTAAGCTGAGTTAGTGTGAGCTAGCTCACAGTTTTTTAGCTTCCAGCTCACACATTTTTGTCTCAGCTCAGGAAGGATGGCTCCAGAGCAAAGTAATTTATGCAGTAGCCAAATCGCTTGCTCACAACTTTAATGCCAGTAGCTCACAAAGTAGAATTTTTGCACACAAGACTTCACAGCTTAGAGGGAACATTGATTAAGACTGCTTTCACCATGGCCTGTGTTCAAATCCACCCGTAGCTACGGAAGCTCACTGGGTTCTATGGGAGCAGTTCTGCTCCACCTGAATACTTTGCTAACAGTTGCTGTGAGTGCCCTTCAGCTGGCAAAACAGACAAACTGCAAAGCTCCATTACTGTTTGAACATATATTTTGATTGATTAAAAAGATACTCCTCAGTCGTCAGCAAAGGAAATGGTGTGTGGGGTGGGAAATTCAAAGAGATATGGAGGTGGAGCCGCCTAGGGAGGGCAGGACCCTCAGCAGGGTGCAGTGTCACTGAAGTCTACCCTCTAAAGCCGGAAACCTTATCCAGGGAATCTGATTTCTGCAGGCTGGATCTCCAGCCCACACCTGGAGATTGGCAACTCAATGTTGGGACTCAGAATAGGTATTTGCCTGTTTCCTTCACACAGGTGGGAATGCCTCTTCTAAGATGGCGCCTACCCCAACATCCAAGGCAAAGCAAGAACACTCTTGGTAAACTGTTGGCCTCTTGCCCATATACAATAGCGTCATGCCCTAAGCACAATTTAATAAATGATTTATTATATCTGAACAGATCTTTGCCTTGTTGAGAACCTTGGAATCCGAAATCCCTCCTCTCCAAGACCTTCAGTGGCAGGTGCTGCAATTCCATGCACACTTACTCGGGACCAAAACCCCATTAAATACAACAAAGTCTGAGTCCAGTGGCACCTTTAAGACCAACCAAGTTTAATTCTGGGTATAAACTTTCCTGTGCATGCACACTTCTTCACGTGCATGCAAATGAAAGATATCGGAAGTGTGCCTGCACACGAAAGCCTATACCCCAAATTAAGCTGTATTGTTCTTAAAGGTGCCACTGGACTCAAACTTTGTTCTGTTCCTTCCTACAAACACGGGCACGCACCTGAACCCATTAAATACAGTAGGGTTTAAATTCCAAGTAAACACAGTATAGGATCAGTCAAGTTGTCTTTAATCAGTTTGACAGGCCAAATGATGATGCTGAATTCTCCATAACCGTTAAATACACCCAAGAACTTGGTTCTTTAAAATCTTGCTCAAGAGGTTCCAGGAGAGGTCAGGTGTCAAATGTTGCGGAGAATCTTGTTCTGGGAAACCCCTCAGTGTTCAGAAAGGGTCTTAGAAGCAAAGGGATTAGCAGTGCAATCCTCCCCCCTCCCCTGGGGATTTTTTAATTTGCATTTTCTATAAACTACAAAGAAAGGTAACTACAAACTACAGGTGAAAGTAAAGAAAACCACTAAAATCCCAAGCGATGGTGGTCATTCAGAATGCTTACAACATTAGTAAAGGTCAAGGTTCCCTTGCTCGAAAGCCAGTCGAACTCCGACTCTAGGGTTGCGGTGCTCATCTCCGTTTCCAAGCCGAAGAGCCAGCGCTGTCCGAAGATGTTTCCGTGGTCATGTGGCCGTTACCTTCCCACCGAAGTGGTCCCTATTTATCTACTTGCAATTCCTTGCTTTCGAACTGCTAGGTTGGCAGGAGCTGGAACTAGAGACGGGAGCTCACTCCGTCATGCGGCTTACAACATTAGCTTCTAGTTAGATAAGCTTATACTTTGCTACCTCAAGTGAGTACACGATTCTTATTGCTTATACTAGAGTCTCCCAACAAATCTGACTATATAAAGCGCTCTGTAGAGAATTGATTTCAATTAGTTTTTA